ACACTTTGTCACTTGCTTTCTGTACCTGTTAAACATTTTAGTATATAAAGAGTATATTACAGTATTTTTTAGGTATATTATAACTATTTACTAGTAGCTATATAGAGTATAATAGGAATACAATTAAAAATTATAAATAATAACACTCACTGAGTGTCTTGCTGCCATTTGGTAATTCATTTCCAACCACCTATGTGGCTTCTTTGCAAGAGGAGTAAAAGTGGCATTTGCCTCATCTTTGTTTGCCACATTCCACCGTTGTTGCATATCTCTAAGCGCCTCCAGTAGTGGAGTTATCGGTAGATCACGGACGGCTCGTATGGCAGCATTTACTGACTCAGCAGCGTTAGATGTCATGGTAAAATATCTATTATTTGGACAATGAACTCTTGCCCACTTGTGAAATCCAATTTCTTCTAGATATGGTACCACATTTGGATTCAGCTTATTAATCTGTGCAATATGCTTATTGAATTCCTCTTTCGTATAGGCTCTTGCTGCTGCATAAAACTCCTCCTTTACTGCCTGAGATTCCGTCTTATAACGCATCTTCAATTTGTTTGAGATGTGATAGGTGCACAGACAATGCGCCGCAGTAGGGAATACCTATACAAATTAGATATAACCAAGCAAATTACTGAAATATTATATATCATGAAAAATAATGCCAAACAATTACCCAAAGTTTAATAATAGCTGGGAACATTTTATATTTCAAAAAATAAATAAATAAAAGAAACAACTGGAGAAGTAATTATATTTTGCAGAATAACTACTTAATTGTTACTAGAAATATACCCTTTCAATACTTAATTTTTGCTAGAAATATAATTGTTTCTAAAAAAATATAATACTTAACTGTGCATTGCCAATATATTATAAATCACGGAAAATAATGCCCACTTGTTACCAAAACTATACTAAACGCTGGGAACATTTTATATTTCAAGAAAAAAAGAATCAATTGGAGAAGAAAGTATATTCCGCAGAATAAATACTAAATTGTTACTAGAAATATAATAGTACCTTTTCTACTGCGTGCCGTATGCTTTCGTGACCATCCGAAACAATGCAAAGACTGTCCCTATCACCAACTACTTCATGCAATTTTGTGAAAAACCAGAGGTAGGACTTGTTATTTTCGGAGTCAACAACACTAAATGCAAGCGATAATATATGAGAATTTGCATCTTGACAAGAGGCTGTCAATAAAATTCCTCCATATACCGACGTCAAAAATGTCCCATCGACAATAACAATTGGCCGACAATGTACCCACCCTTTGACAGATGCACCGAGTGACATGAAAACATACATGAAATTCTTATCCCATGTGGTGCGCATCATCACATTGCTACCCGGGTTTGATGCACGTACCTTACTAAGATATTGATGAGCATAATTGTATGACTCATCAACCTTGCCACGAACTTCATCAACAGCTTTCCGTTTCGACCTCCATGCTTTGTGATATGTCAAGTTTATCCCAAACCGATTTTGCATGTCGTCAATGATATCACCCGGATTATATGCAGTTTTATTGTTTGTGAA